AATATACCAAAGGGCAGAGGTGTCAACGTACCTCAATAGGGCTCTCTTCTGAGACGTGGAGTAACACAGAGACGAAGAGGCTCAGAGGTGTATCATATCAAAGAGGTAATCATTTGTGACTTAGCAATCCTTTATGATAAAAGACTGCTACAGTTTAAATTACTTCATTTAAGTCTGGTTTGAAAAAATATAGCTTTCTGGATAGAAAGCGTCTGGTTAAGTTTGCTGTTCAGTACCTTGTTCTGTTTTTTTTGGTATGTTTGCATGTCGCATCCAGAGCTACAGATTTTCCACAGTGCTTTTCTGCCTCATTCAAGTATAATAAAAAGTAGAAATCTATAGAAGCTCTAAGGTTAAACAAACTGTACATTATACAAAAATTAACTTAATTTACAGACAGTCAAAAAGTATTGGCAATGCCCTTTATAAATCTTACCAGAGATGCATCACAAAGGATATTACAGTCAACATAATGGTTCGGTCATCGCCGTACAAATGCCATCTCAATTTACGTGATACAGAACTGAGCATTTGTGAAACGTACAAATGAAGAATCAGCATTTTGCACTATATACATTTCTTTCAAAGTAACAGTATTGTCAATACTAATCTAAGGTTCAGGATTCTCTTATTGCATATTCATTGTTGCTGAGGCAGTTAGTTATACAATAATGCAATATTCATAATTATTTTAAATAAACAAAAACATTTCTCCTGCCAACAGTAAAAAGTTTTTTTTCCCCCAAAATCACATGGTACATTGCTACATACAATTTTACACAAATACTGAAAAACATGACCTTAAGGCATCTGCTTGAAAAGCAGATGTGCATATTTATATGAACTAAATTATGCAAGAAACAATATTGCACAAAATCCTATATTATTTTCAAGATAAAATATGCTTCTTTCTAAATACACATAATTCCCTATCTTGACCAAATCAAAACATTTGACTGATTTGCTCAAAAGAACTCTGCCTCTTAAACAAGATTTAAGAAACAGACACGAACAAATTCCTGGGCTAGACAGAGGAAATGCTGACAGTTTGTAAGAAACCATCTCCTATATGAAGAAGTGCTTTCGGGGAATTAGGTTTGGGGTTCATTTTACATCCTTTCATTTATGTTCTGATCTACAGTTATCCAACCAGAATCAGGATCCTGTATGTGAAACAAAATGGAATTCACATTAGAAAATTTTTTCATGAAAATAACCTTTTCCTGAAAATCCAGATATTCTAGAAAAAGAAGAAGGAAGATCTACTAATTACGAGAACAGTCACAGTTTTTTTTTCCTCTTCACCTTATTTCAGAAGCGATGAATTCATTAGCATTCCTGGGTCTTGTTTTTTAGGATACAAGTACAGACTCCACAGCAGACTGTCGCAGACAGCTTTCAAGTGTGTGGGGCGCGGGGGAAGTGTTTGCAGAGAATGCTGTTGTCAGGGTAAAGACAGCAAAAACTCCCTGCCATCAGCAGGTGGCCACACGCTCGGTTCATCCTGAGCGGGGTGGAGAGACTGTCCCGGGTGGTCCCGAGGGGCCGAGTTCAGCACCGAGTCTTGCTGCCTGGGTCCAGGGGAGCAGAGGGCGCCGGCCAGCCAGCTGGACGAGAACACACGGCTTCTCAGAGCCTCCGAGTCTGTCCTTTAAGAGCAGGTCTCCTAGACAGCAGCATTCTTGCACGTCGCATGACAGTGGAGAAAGATGGCACAGTGGTTCTGTTCTTAGAGCATGTTTTAGTTTGAGCAGCTTTAAAAGGCTTTTTTTTTTTTGGTGATAGAATCTTGGCTGAATAATTCCTAAGCAAAATATATTATCATCATTGTTATTAACAGATTTGCAATTCCTTTTCCTTTTCATTAGCTCCTGCGCAGCAGGGACTAGGCCAATTCTTTTATTTCCCTATGTCCACAGTTACTGTACCTTGCCTATGATCAGTACCAAGAGTTGATAAATATTTCTTAAATGAGTTATTAACTTTTAATCAGAGGAATAGTCATGCTATATTTTGGTGCCTTTCTAAAATATGCTAAAGTAGGTAGCCATTAAAATATACCACTTAACGACACGTAATGAACCAAGAGTTCCTCAATTCATATGGGACTCTGCTATCCCCTGAAATGCCATGGATGCAATACCTCTGGGGTGAAAGATAGAGTGGGTTTGGGGAGCATGGTGACTGCCTAGAGGCTGTATAAAGACAGGCCCCAGAACCAACGGTCGGACTCGTTTATACAGTTCTGTGTAGGACAGGTGTTGCTCCGTCGGGGGAGAAAAATTCAAACAGCAGGGGAGTTTACACATAATAGAAAATACTGTCTAGTTATAATAGAAAATATGAACATAGTAAGGACAGAGAGAAATTTTATTTCAGAACTCACCTTAATGTCCCTTCATTCTCCCTACAGCCACCATAATACAGGGAAGTCTAGTCTCAGAGCAGACTTTGAATACTCAAAATGTTAACGGTTTAGACTATGAATGCTTGCTGAGTTTTTGTTTTTAATGTGGACTATCAGAGCTGATTTTGTATGTTAAAATAAGGCACAAGTGCAGCTTAAAATACCTTAACACGAATGTGATTTGTCAGTGGGTGACTGTCCTCACCATACACCATGGTCAGACATCTGGGGAGGTGACTAAGAGAAACTCACATTTCTGAGGCTCTGAGGCTTATTCAGCAAATGGACTAAAACCCAGATTCTGTCAAGGCTACACTCACAATGATCCCATTCTCCAGATGGAGAATTCTAAAGGAAAAAAAAATGCCTCATTCCAATATTTGTAGTCAAGGGCTACTTTACATTCTTTTCAAAAATTATGAAGAATATCTGCCCAGCAGATTGACAACCAGAGTGACAGTTTTTCTTCCTCATTTAAAATAGCTCTTCTGATGAATGGACTTCTTTTTTATATACTTAAATATAAAATGGAATTTGTAATGAGTATATAAAGCAAAATTTAACAAGAACCTTGAATCTTACTTTGGTGTTTAAAAAAAGGATTACAGACTTTCACCCTTAATACTTAAGAGTTCATCCTTTTAAGGAAAACAAGATCTGTCTTCCTTCATAAACATGAATAACTGTCCTCCCAAAATATATCCATTTAGAGTTTGGAATCTACCTTAAAAAAGAAAACCTTGGTTATTTTCTTCAAATTATTTAAAGACTGATCTGAAGAAGTATTTTAAGCAGTTTTTAACAAAACCTCTTCAGGATCTTAACTGAAAATTATTTCAGTAAATATTTTAGAGCACAGTTTTGATGGGAGTTCTTGAGTGCCTTGTCAAACCTTTCCTAAAATAAATTAAGAAAATAGTCATGATTGGGGATGCACGGAGTACATGTGCCGAACAAGCGAACAATCGAGGAAGCACAGCATCACTGTTGTTCACTCCTGATTAGTCCTGTCAGTCTAGCCAATCATGGCGCAATCAATGTGCGATTCCTTCTCAGAACTTCCAAGTGTGACAGTGAATTTGAGGGAGGAGAGACCAAGTCCCACGGAGAAGAACTGCAAGCAGTGTGCGGACACCACGCGGCAGACCGGAGGCACAGGCCCCCGCCTCAGGGAGGCCGCGCCGGTGTCTCCTCCGGACGGCAGGAGGACCGGAGGGAGGGCGCGGCTTTCCCGGGAGGAGGCCGGCCAGCGCTTCCTCAGCCGGCTGACCGCGGCCAGCCCCGTTCGGCAGGCAGGGGTGAGGACGGCGCTTTTCTGCTGGGAGCCACTCCCCGGGGCCCACTGCCCCCCCGCGACCACGAGGAAAACGCTGGACAGGCCCAGCAGCGGCGCATCCGACAGCAGACCTGACCTGTGCTCCTCGGAACCGCCCAGGTCGTCAGAGACCGGGAGGATCTAGAGACGGTCACATCCAAGAGGAGCCTGCGGAGGTGCGACAGCCATGGGCAAGGTGGGCCAGGGGCGGGATCCCGGGACAGAAACAGGGTCTTAGGGGAGAACCAAGGAAATCTGCGTGAAGCATGGCTCATGAGCTGTGCAGACAGACTGCAGGAATACAGGGCCCTAAACACCGCGGGCATGCTGAGTAGAGACACGCTGCCCTTACTCCGCACGGGGCCTGCAGACCTACGACTCGCAAAATATAAAGTCAGTTATTTTAGCAGTGAGTCTGCGATGTCGTGAAGCATTCTGATAAGAGGATTATTAGTTAGGGGAAAAACAGACAGGAACATTTTTCTACTAGGACGCTTTGTTTCATCTGGCTTTCTGGGGTGACTCCTAGTTAGCGAAGGCAAAAAGAGGCTGTGAAGAAATTTAAAGTGTCGTTTGTAAACAGCAGTCATTACTTTCACATTGTAATTCAGCACTTCATGCATTTCGCTGAGTGACAGCTATGTATGTCTGTACCTTTATACTTTTTGGAAAACACGGCTGCAGTGTCCACAAGAGAGCTTTTTAAGTTTGAAAATATGAATTCTGTCCTTGATTTGATGATCGAAAAAGGCATTATTGCTCTGCAGAACACATAACTTATCTTTCAGAATTTACATGGAATCCCATAAATTAGGTAAGTATGCTTAATATAGGCTTAAGATTAAGGCAATTAGTGGGTCAACAGTTGCAGGCTAGTTCTGATAGGTTTTGATATCTTGGCCGGGTCATGCTCGACCAGGTTAGTACAGTAGCTACTAATGGTTATGTGCAAGGGTTAGATGCATACTTAATTTAAATAAGTGGCGTTAAGCACCAAACACTGGGAAATCGGATGTTCAATATATACTTTCAACATACATACAAACTCATACCTGACTGAAAAGCACAGCAGGAGGATTAGCTTTACGTTTAAAAATCAATGGATCATCGACATACCACGGGACAAACGCGCGGACGGGGAAGAGTGCCAGATGAAAGCAGCTTCAGACAGCAGAAGAGTCGCCTTTCCGACCGCCCCTTGCTCACGACGCGGGGCGGCGGGCTCCTGAACGCCTCTGTGGAAGGCTGGGTGCCAGCGACGGGCACTTCGTTCCTGACTTAAGCCTGGTTTCCGCTTGCCCGCCCTCCTGAGATGTGCAGGTCTTGTTGGAAAGCAGACGTGATGTGACACAAGGACACCACCTCCTGAAGCAGCCCAGCCCCCGCTGCGGTCTCTGGGGCTTCTTTCCCTTCTTTCTCCCAGGGAACACAGGTGGACAGGCGCCGCCCCAGGCCGGGCTCCGCCACGTCGCCCGCAGTCGGGCTTAGCGTTTCCTTCCTCTCTGTAGGGGGCGCTCCGGCGCCTGGAAGGGGGCCCGGCTGCCCCTGCGCCGGGGGCCGGCTCCCCGCGCCAACGCCAAGGGGTTGCTCGGCCGCCTCCTCCTCCAGGATGAATAGAGGGTCAGTGCCCGCGCCGGAGGACAGCCGCTTCCTGGGCGACGGGGGCAGCTGCCGGCCGAGCAGGGCGCTATCGTCCTGGCCCCGGTGCCACCCGGCCTGGTCCCCGGAGCCGCTGCACAGCAGGGCCAGGTCGCTCTCGCTGGGCGCGTTGGATTTGTTCTAAGAGGAGGAACGATAACGTTTAGAAGAAATGGAAGTAAACTATGGCGTTACTTCAGCAACATTCTTTTCCCATTCTGAAATCATTCTCGTGCAAGGCTGGGAACTCGAAGTCCCCCCCCAGGAGACGCCGCCGCGACGGTGGGTTGGGAACACGGCCCATGGCCCAGGGCTCCGAAGACAGGCACGGCCTGAGACTGGCACGTGCCACTGTCGCCTGCGGAGTTCAACCTGGATGGGGAGTGTCGGCCAGGATGCGGAGAAGAGGGTGGGAGTGTAAACTGATGCAGCCACTTTGGACATGGGCGTGGACGGGCCTCAAGAAATTACAAGCAGAACTATGACGTGCTGCAGCCAGACGCAGTACCCCCACTTCCGGGTGTGTGTTCACTGCAGCCACTGTTTGCTAGGGAAGCTGGTGAACAGCTAAATGTCACTGATGGGTGAATGGATAAAGACAATGCGCTGTGAATATTACTTAGAAGGAAATCCTGCCATCTGGGATAACATGGGTGCTGCTAATGGCTCAGACAGTAAAGAATCTGCCTGCAGAATCCCACGGACATAGGAGCCTGGCACGCTATAGCCCATGGGATGAAAAAGACTTGGACATGATCCAGTGACTAAGATCAGTAAAACCAAGGTAAAGAAAACACCAAGGATGGGCCTGGAGGGCATTGCACTAAGGGAAATAAGTCAGGACACAAACACTGCATGATCTCACTTCTCTGTGGAATCTAGTCAAGCTCGTGTGTAGAGAGTAGAGTGGGGTGGGGGTCACTCTGGGGGGAGGGGAGGTGCAAGGAAGACCAGGGTTCAGTTGGGGGGGGGAGTGGTGAAGCACAGGGACCTAGTATGCAGCGTGTGGACCTAGCTGCTTTGTGAAGAAGGCAGGTCTCAAGTACTCTGGTTTCAAAGAGGAGGAAAGAAAAGTAAGCTTTGTGAGGTAAGGAGTGGCTAATTAGCTTAACTGTGGCCAGCACTTCAAAGTGTATGGGCAAACATCAAATTGTACATCTCAGATATATACAACTTCTGTCATACTACAAAAAAGGTGAGAAATAAAAAGGATTTGCAAAGAAATCCTACCAAATAAAGAACAAGCAAACTATTATATAATCAATGCCAAGTTCTGGAATTATTACAGTCAGAACAGGGTAGAAATTACTGCCACCTCTCTCTCTTGTGTTTTTAAAGAATCCAGTTCAATCTGCTTAAAGTCTTATTTCTGAAGCAATACAGTGAAACATTACTTGAATTCATACCCTTACTAAAATGTTGTGAAGAGCCAAAAAATACAGGAAAAACATGGGAACATTTCACGTTTAAAAGTTCCCCAAGAAAGACAACTGTAAAATTAGGTTGTAGGGAAATAATACTGCTTGACAAAATAATTTCAGTTAATGATGAGAAACAGCAGCATTTGATTGGAATTTTGTTATAGAAATCATGTCTTAATGATTAACTCATGATATTTTTGGAGTTTTGACACTTACCTTCACGTCGGCCAGCACAGTGAGTGTGAGAAAGTGTTCATTTAATGTTATAGGCTGGAAACTGACTCACCGTGGGCTTGTAATCTATCTCGTCCATCGACCTGAAGAAGTCCAGGCTCCTGGCTGCCGCCAGCTTCCCCTGGTCCGAGCTGTGCGTGCTCAGCGTGTCCAGGATCTCACCCAGCAGGTCCATCTCCCCTGGTGAAGGAGCCTTTGCTCTTGTTTCAAGTGAGTCATCACTTTCATAGAAGTAAGCAGAAGCTTCTTCTCCGTCTTCAGAGGACAACCTGGAGAGAAAAAGGACACGCACTGGTGGTTACGTGACCCGAATGCTATACACAAAGCAACCTCTCACCAACGACTGTCAACCGATGAGGGAGTCTTAAAACCAGCGTGATATTTCTGTGGAAGGACAGTAAAGTGAAGAACTGGTTCATGGCCAAACTCTTTATAGTGATGTACATACCACTTCAAACACGGGAAGTCTTGAGTGTGAGCGCTGAGAACAAACAGAAGTTTGTGGCTCCTTACCCATCTGGAAGCACAAGCAGGGCTTTTCCCAGTCCGATTCTGGGGATGTGGGAGCGACAGCCTTAGAAATATCAGACTGCACATCTAGGACTTTGTACATTCTGAGTTCACTTCCAGTACTTTTGTATGGTTTTTCTTTATTCCCTTGTTTTGGAGAATGCATATTCTTTTATCCTTTATTCCTATATATACCCTATATTCCTATATGTATCCTTTATTTATATATTAAGATATACATAATGGGGAAAAAAAGTTGATTCTGTCAAACAGCTTAAAATTGTTTTAAAAGTTCAACACATAGTACTATTATTTCCCTTATTATTTAATTTTTACCATGTTCATGAAATTTTCCTTTTCTGATACCTCCCATGGACTGAGGTCCCACCGCCTCTCCCCCAGATTTGGTTTATTTCAACTAACCCCTTTCACTGTCCTGATGTTCACCTGCCCTTCTTCAGTCTGGGGGGAGGAGGGGGCTTCTGTTTCCCCTTGACCTCTATCCTGGGTATTTCTGCAGATATCATTGCTTCCCAGTTATTTCAGGCCTATCTTGCTTTCCCATATCAAGATTTGTCCCTGGTGAGCCTCCCACTAGCCCTGGTTCCTCCTGCTGAAGACGAGACTGCGGGGAGCAGAACCTTTTCTCCAGGTGTGCACGTGCTTTGAAATATCCCTTGCCACCTAGGGCTTCGGCCAAACAGAGCACGCAACCCGCGACTTACTTGCTGGCTCTCTCGGCGTCCTCCTCGTCGTCAGCATCTAGGGCTCCGTCCAGGCTCTTCAAAGGCCTGAGCCGTGGCTGGAGAGAGGGATCGACACAGTGGCATGAGGAGTGAGGCTACTTCAAATGCTAAATTCGCTCAGAAACTCTAAGCAGCAATTTGATACTCGATACGGTAAGGAAGGGCTTCCCTGGTGGCTCAGACGGTAAAGTGTCTGCCTGCAGTGTGGGAGACCTCGGTTGGATCCCTGGGTTTGGAAGATCCCCTGGAGAAGGAAGTGGCAACCCATGCCAGTGTTCTTGCCTGGGGAATCCCATGGATGGAAGGAGCCTGGAGGGCTACAGTCCATGGGGTTGCAAAGAGTCGGACACGACTGAGCAAATTCACTTTCTCACTTTCTCTTTCACACAATAAGGAATACTTCTTAAAGACATACGCATTCAGGGCTTTTGAATATTACCTAGTAACCTGGAGGATACGAGGCAATATTGATCTGAATGCTTTCTTGCACCTCAAACCAATCAACAAAGTCCCTAGGCTGAGTATATCAACACTTCTGGCCAGTCTGTCAGTCCCTGGTTTAGGAATCCTTGATTTACAGTCCCACCACCAAGCACTCAGCCTCCACTTTCTGTAACAATATTTGCAGCTGTGTTTCTTTTATCCCCCATGACACTCTCCCTCACACCCAGTATTTTACAGCAATGCTGCTCAATCCCGAGTGTGTGTCTTAAGTCTCTTGGAGATGGTAAAGATGTAGGTTCTGAATTTCTGCATCTCTAACTCTTCAGTGAGGTTGGTGCTGTTGGGTCTGGTAGTCACACTCTGAAGAGCAAGGTTGTGAATCAAGTCCAGGAAAGCTGATCATTTCATCTGTAAATACTTAACTATGTATCTTAAAAGATATTTTTTTAGCATTACCAAAGTATCATGATCACACATAGTTACTAATAATTATTTAATATCTCACATTCCCTTCTTACTCCAAATACATTTTAGAGAGTTTGTTAGGGCCAGAATCTCAACAAGGTAAGCACTGTATTTGGCTGATACCTCTCTCATCTCAGAGGATGACACCTTCTCCCTCCCCTCCCCCATGTCTTCTGGGACCTGTGGTGTGTTGTTTTACCCTCATTTCCTATAAGCTTGCAATTACATCTAGAAGCTTGGCTAGCTTCCACTTCTGAGTCTTCCTCTGTTTCTGGCAGGAACTCCTGCAGGCGTTGGTGTGGACTTCTCGGCACGCCACAGTGGGAGGCACACTCTCACTTGGGACAGTACCAGGACTGGTGACTGGCTTCAGGTGTAGGTGGCCTGGTGCATCCACTGCAAATCTTACCAGTCTTTTACTTGATAGGTTTAGCATCCAGTAATTACACTTTTCAAAAGCAGTGCCTCTATATTTGCTTGTTGGGATTCTATAGAGAACTTTGTCCTATTAACTATTTGTCTATTCTGAAATAAAATGTGCCCTGGGAAAAACAGGGTAATTCCTTCTTCCCTTATATGTAATAATTCTTAGAGTGCTGAGCTAATGTCATAACAGTCTGTAAAGGTGAGCCATGAGGGGGTCTTTAAAAATTATCATCATTTGTACATATTTGATATGGCTCCAACCATCACTTATTACTCTTGATGTTCAAATCTGTCCCATTTTTACACTATACCATAACCATGTTTTTTGAAATAGTAATCTTTTACAGATTGATCTTAAAATACATACAGGTTAAATTATGTGCTACGGGGTATTTACTTTACTTCAAATTAATCCAGAGTGGGGAGAGTGCATAAGGTTGGCACAGAAATAAGACTGTCCTTGAGCTGATCATTGCTGAAGCTGTATGAAGGGTACCTGGGAATTCTTAGAAGCTTCTCTTTACTTTTGTATGTCTGAATCAGAAAAGGACTACAGAAAAAAACCACAGTCAACAAAATGGCAATCAGTACATACCTATCAATAATCAGTTTAAACATAAACAGCCTAAATGCTCCAATCAAAAGACACAGTGTCATACTGAGTAAAGTCAGTCATATAGAGGAAGACAAATATCATGATATGTGTAGGTGGAATCTACAAAAATGGTACCAATACACTTATTTACAAAATAGAAATAGTCAAATATGTATAAAACAAACATGTTTGGGGGGGTGGGGAAGAGAGGGAAGGGATAAATTGGGAGATTGGGAATGAAACATACACACTACCATACATAAGACAGGTAACTAATAAAGATCTACTGTACAGCACAGGGAACCCTATTCAATACTCTGTAATGGCCTATATGGGAAAAGAATCTAAAAAAGAGTGGATGCATGTATATGATTCACTTTGCTATTCAGCAGAAAATAACAACATTGTAAATCAACTATACACCAATAAAAATTTTTAAAAATAAATAGCATCTGACAGTAAAAATATGTATTTATGTACCCAACACTGGAGCACCTAATTATATAGAGCAAATATTAACAGACGTAAAGAGATAAACTGACAGTAATACAATAATAGTAGGGAACTTACATCAATGGACAGATCATACAAACAGAAAATAAGGAAACACACTGGCCGTACACACATTAGACCACGTGCACACGCAGAGAACATTCCACTCCAAGACAGAATACACATTCAGGTGCACATGAACATTGAACATTCTCTGGGATAACATGCTGAGCCACAAAAAAAATCCCAAATTTAAAAGGACCGAAATCATATCAAGCATTCTTTCTGAACACACTAGTACAAAACTAGAAACCAATTACCAGCAGAAAACTGGAAGAAGCAAAACTCATGAAGACAAAGCAACATGCTACTAACCAACCAATAGGTCAATGAAGAAATCAGAGAAAATATCAATAAAGCACCCTGAAATAAAAAACACTGTTCCAAAATTGATGGGATGCAGGAAAAGCAGTTCTAAAAGGAAGGTTTATAGCAACACAGACCTACCTCATGAAAAAAAAAAAATTCATATAAACAGTCTAACTTTATATCTAAAACACCTAGAAAAAAGAAAAAAGCCCTAAGTTAGTAGAAGGAAGAAACCAATACAGATCAGAGTACAAATAAAATAGAGACCCTAAAAACAGAAAAGATCAATGAAACTAAGAACTAGTTCTTTGAGAAGCAAACAAAATTGATAAACCTTTATCCAAATCCATCAAGGAAAAAAGAGGGCCCAAATCAATAAAATAAGAAATGAAAGAGAAGTTACAACCAATATGAAGACTCATGGGACTACTACATCATCTCATATACCAACAAACTGGACAACCTGGAAGAAAAAGATACATTCCTAGATACATGCCATCTTCCGAGACTAAAGGGGGGAAGAAACAGAAAATCTAAACAGACTAATTACTAACAGTGAAACTAAATCCGTAATTTAAAAGAAAAAAAAAAAAAACTCCCAACAAAAGTCCTGGGCCAGAAGTCTTCACAGGTGAATTCTACCAAACATTTAGAGAAGAGTTAACAGTACTCCTTCTCAGGGTATTCCAAAAACTTGCAGAGCAGGGAATGCTTCTAAACTTAAAGGCCAGCATTACCCTGATAACAAAACAAGACAAATATATTACAACATCAAAATTGAATTCTATTTTTTCAAGATAGAAAATTACAGGCTAATTTTCCCAATGAACATAGATGCAGAAATCCTCAACAAAATACTAGCAAACCAAATCCAAGAATACATTAAAAGGATCATATAATGGTTAAGGGATTTCTTCTAGAGATGCAAGAGTGGTTTAATACCCACAAATCAATCCATGGGCTAATGAGTGAGAGAAAGGAAAGAATGAATGGAGAAACATGTCCTGCAACCCCTGCTGGGAATGTGTAGTAAGTCTCTCCAGAATTTTGGTAATTAGCAATGTTATTTGGGACTTGCAGTTATCACTTGTGGCTCAGGTGGTAAAGACTCTGCCTGCAGTGGGTTCGACCTGGGTTCGATCCCTGGGTTGGGAGGATCCCCTGGAGAAGGGAATGGCTAACCAATTGAGTATTCTTGCCTGGAAACTTCCATGACAGAGGAACCCGGTGAGCTATACAGTCCATGGGGTCACAAAGAGTTGGACACTTTACAAGTTTAAGGTATGTGAGTTAAACAGAAATCTGGGAAATGGCCTAGAAACACAACTATCACTTAAAAGATTATTTCTCTGGAAAAATATATTTTACCCATTCCCTCCAGAACTCACAATATATATATATATCACAATCCTTTGATTCTAAAGACAAGCCGTTGTTATTATTACACTGACCTCTGTGTACACTTACCTTTATGCCAGCTATGGGTGTTGCATTTAATTTTTGATTAAAAAGAAAACAAATATCTGAAACTATGAGGGAGCTGGGACTTTATATTGCTATTTAACAAATCATCATTGACTATGCAAGATGATAAACATGTAACTTAATATGTACGTTTATAACATACTTTGCAAAGCACTCTCTTTCACACACTGGTCTAGGTTCTAAGAATATAGAGTTGAGTAAGGTTGAGTCTCTTGTCTTTAGCAGCTCTAACGAACCCACAGTGAGTCTGGAGGAGCACCAGGGAGGCCCCATCACTGCTCAAGGTCACAGCTCATCAAGAACAAGAAGCAGAAAGAGGAATCTGGTCTGCTGCCAGCCCCCTGTTCATCTTCCACACTTGCTTTCACATCCCTGCGCATACCGTAGATTCTCAGTTACTGTTTCGCTAGCTACAACTTTTTCTTTTCTAATGAAGCTCCTGCTTTCCCACAGTCTAAGTCATTTAAATCATAAGCATTTCTCAAGTACCTCTGAATTTAATTTTACATTTTCTAGCCAGGCCAGGGTTCTATCAATTTCTACATACACAAGGGTGTTAAAAAGCATACTTATCACCATGAGTTACATAAGTCTTCACAAGGAATGAGAATTAGAATGAGAAAACTGGTCAATGTAATGCTTTGCTTTCTATGAGTGTTCAGTTTTGGCTAACCGAAATAAGCTTCTAATTAGCAGCTATCACATAGGTATATTCAGTAATTCGTTAGGAACTGCTATGTCCATACACAGTATGAAGAAGTAACAGTGTCCAAACCCACA